AGATCAGGGTCAGATGGCGGGGTCTGAGAAAAGGGCAGTCCGCTACGGGTATGCAGCTGACTCAGAGGAGTGGAGTCGGGGCTAGCTGAAAGGTTAAGGGAGGGATGGGACAGTTTAGGGTAAGGAGGGGGAGTCAGGGATTCAGATGTCGGGGGCAGCACAGGTGGCCTTTTAGGACCCTGAGGACCTTTTCTGGAGCAGCAGTCAGTGCCACCATACCAGAGGCACGTTGGTGTGATGCCCAGGCATGGTGACAGGTTTTCATCCACTTTGGAGAGTCCTGCAATAAATCTATCCATGCTTGAATATATGGGACTTGATCAAGATGCCCCGGCTTTTCAAATATGACCCTGCAGACCTAATAAGCAAGAAAGATATTAAAAGAGCCCTCCGGAGGCCATATGGACTCTGATAGGCGGGGCCACTCCACTTCGCACAAAGTGTGGAGAGTCCCTGGGGAGACAAAGTCTCCGTAGTCAGCAGCTCGCCGTCAGAATTCCTGGAAATGATCAAGAATACATTGCAAAGGCGACACAGAAGCAAAAGCAGACTGACCCACGGTTATCAGACAGACAAACGACAATTGGCCGAAACACACAAAGACGAAACAGAAACAGACCTGAGACTCCAACCCGTCGTCACGGAAAGGATTCGAGTCCAGAGGTGATCACTGTGTCCAGCACCTCTTAGGACTCTCAGAGGGGGCGCCCCGACAGAACAGACACAGATGTCTTACGGGCAGGATCTTTCAAATGGCTCGGTCTAGTCAGTCGGAATGATAGGATTTATGAGTTTTTGGAGACCGTCCCAGGGCCAGAAAGTTCCCCCGGGGAAATGGTTTCCAAAGACTCTGGTTCCTATGATTGATTCCCCAATAAAGGGGATCCTGGACGAGCCCCCAAATGCTATGGGTCAACTCTGCATAGGAACCAGGTCAGCCAGATAAAAATCTGAATAGAGCCTTTTATTTACTGAGCACAGGTCTGTCAGCCACTTCTTACGCAGGAGAAGGCTGATCAGTCGAATGTAGGTAGCAAGGGGGGTATTTATAACAGAAATCACATCGTTTAATAAACAAATTTGTTATCTAGCACGGAACAACAAAAACTATATTCATTTGACACAGCTGCAAACTGTTTATAACTAAAAGACCTTTTACAGCTTAGTGATAAGTGCATATTTTTATAAGATATATCTTAAGCTGACTGTGTGACAGGAGATGGTTGGGGAGGGAGTTTGTGTTAGCTTGCTGCCTTGACAAAAAACAGTTATTTATTATTGAACAGCCTTGAGCCAAGAGGGAAAATATTTTTCTTAGAGTAGAAAACTGGAAGCACAAGGGTTTTTTAAATAATTTTCCACAGTTAAGACACAAAACTCTGTTAACCCTTTACAGCCTTCACACTTCATTCCTAGCCCTTTTTTTTTTTTATTGTTTGAGTAAAACCAGGGCCTTTTCACTGAGCTACATCCTCCCCTTACAAAAAAAAAAACCAAAAAAAAAAAAAAAAAAAAAAAACAAACCTTTGAGACAGGATTTTGCTAAAGTGCTTATTCTGGGCTCAAGCTTCTCATTTCTTCTGCCTCAGCCTCACATAGTTCTGGGATTACAGGTATGGACTACACCAGACTAATTTTAAAGATTTTTAAGTATACAAGGTAAATTTCAAAGTAGTCACTCAAATAATAGAATTGTAGTTTGTAATTTATAAACTCAGATACTTTTAATACAATAGAACCTAATTTTCCCAATTCTGGGAAAAGTCACTATAATTAGGTGATGAAATCATTATCATAGGACAATCAAGCTGGCTCACATTTCATTACATCAGATAAGCTTCTCCAAATCGTAAACTAGCACGCTTTTCAGGATGCCAATTATTTCTACTAGGTGCTCAAAAACACAAGTGTAAAAGAACGAATGAAATAGTTATCATCTTGGAATTCTGTAGAAAGTTCCCAAGTACTTTTTTTTTTTAAGTACTTCTCAAATATTTCAATTACTCTTAGCGCTTGCTAATGGAAAAAGGAAAACACAGGGAACGTGAACATCCCCTTACTCTAAAAATGCTTATTTTGGACATTTAGTACCCATTAGCAGGCATTCTACTAATTAACCGCTACTTCCGGTCTACAAAGTACCAAGTGCCTAAAAATTATTATTTTTTTAAAAAATAAATTTTATTTATGTATTTGGTACAGGGTCTCACTATGTGGCTGGGACCCGGTGACCCTCCGGTCCAGCCTCCCCAGCGCAGGGATTATGGGCGTGCGCCATCAAGCTCGGCTTCGAAGGCCAGCTCGGTGCACCCGGGTTCCAGAGAATGCGTGACATGAGGTATGGGGGGATCAAACTCGGGTTCCTGCAATTTGCCAGGCAGGCGCTTAAATTGTTGAGCTATCTTCCCAGCCCTAAAAATTATTTTTTAACAGCATTTAGATACTTAAATGTTACTTAAGTTTGATTTAGGTAAAAGAAAGGATTGACAATCTAGAGAATGGGCGCAGGCAGCGAGGACACCTATGAAGAGCTCTAAGGGTCCTGCTCCTCCCTTCAGGCAGAAACGCGGTCAGCCCTGTCGGGCTTGGAAGGGTCCTGAGCAGGGGCGTCTGCGCAGGCGCGGCTCCTAATTCTACCCCGCAACGCTGGCGCTTCGCCCTTTTGGTTCTGCGACATGGTGAGTGCGGGTGGGCTCCGCGGAGCTCTCCGGGTGGGTCGGGAAGGGCATGGTGGCGCGCTGTGGAGCGCCTTCGTCGGCCTACGGCTGCCTGCCGGGTGCTCGAGAGTGGTTCGGTTAGGAAGCGAGCCGTGTAAGTCTTTCTGAGAGCTTGCAGCGGCATTACTCAGCGCTTCCTGCAAAGCTCGCGGGCGCGCTTGCTGCTTCTAATTTTATCGAGGCTTCTTCGCCGTGGGCGGGCCTCCTAGGATTCATCGTCCGATTTCTTGACCCTAAAAAGCCAAGGCTCACTCGCGACTTTATTCCCTTCACGCTACACATTTTAGTTTTATATATTTTCCTTAAATGTGATGTTTGGTTCGAAGAAATCCTAGAATCATTAGTGGAAGCCTCTCGCTTGAGGGCCTTGAAAATTTTAAGTTGGATCCCCAGGAAATTTGTTACTCGATCGTGTTTGTTAATTGTGAGGACCTACCACGTGCCTACAGTAAAAGTTTTTTTGTTTTGTACCTGGAACTGAACTCACGATCTCGTGCTTTCCAGGCAGGCGCTGTGCCGCTGAGCTACATCCCTGGCCTTAAGTATAGTGCGCTCCAAATCAGGAAGATGTAGGTACCTGAAAACAAAACAGCACCCTTGGCGCCTGGGAACTTGTTGCACACACAGAGCCTCTGGCTAGGGGTTCTGGTAGACTGCTTACTGGTTGTTGGAAAAACTTGCGGGGGAGCACAGAAGGTCCGTTGGAACCCGATTTTTCGATAAGCAAGAGTTTGCAAATTTTGGCTAGCCAGACGTAAAAGAATTTCCTTTTGCATGCGTTGTACCGCGTGTTACCTTACTTGGTAAGGTTTGTACTTTACGGTGTTTATTTGGGAGGATAAGCAGCACATGGAGGTGGTATTTTTTTGGGTCTGTGATGACACGGCATGTATTCTGAATCTAAAGTTGATTATTACTACTTTAGCTCTAGAATTACTCTGAGACCCGAAAAATACCTGAATCGCAACTATTAGTACTATTTTTTGTCCTTTTGTGTGTTGCATATATACTTGCATGCGTGCTAAGGAGCAGGACATAAAATGTGAATAAATCACGGTCTTTTTATTTTGAAAGGGCACGCCGCAGAAGGACGTTACTATCAAGTCTGATGCACCTGACACCCTTTTACTGGGGAAACATGCAGATTATATTGCATCTTACGGCTCAAAGAAAGACGATTATGTATGTATGATTGTATGTTGCAAAGCTATTCGTAAGGAAGTCTGATGGGTAGAAACAATAGGGCAGTATTTGTGTACTAATCTTAATCAGCTGATGGGATAGATCAGGAATTAGAGGTACCAAAGTATTTCCTGTCTTTGTAGTTGGGGTAATAGTTTCAAGGTCAATGATGTATTGGCATGTATTATCTGACTGACTGCTGATGTGTAATAACACTTAGCTTTAGAATTACGCTGAGACCTTGAAATGATTTTACCTGGAGTTACAATACCTAAAAGCTTTTTTTTTTTTTTCTGGGAGAATCTTAACAAAAAAGGATAAATAACCTGTCTGGAAGTATTTTTCCTTTAGGGTCTAAAATAGCTGGGTTTCTGCCATGTGGGGAACAAACTTAAGGTCCACACCTTGAAACCTTAGGAATGGTGTCGCATGCTTGGAATTTCAGTGCTTGGCCTGAAGCAGCAGGATTTGGCTTCAGCATCAGGACAGCCTGGGCTGCATAGACCCTTCCTCAGATAAATGAAGCCACCAAAGTGTTGTGACTGCAACAAAATCACACCTCTGGACTGTGCAAATTTATATTTTTCATTTTTATGTCACATAATTTGTACACAATAAAAGAATGGGTATTTGACTATATTAAGGGTTAAAAATATATCAGTTTTACTAATGAAAATGGTAGGTGATTTTGGTTTAGCTCATTTTACCTCTTGGTGCGAAAGCCCAGTTTATAGTAATTGTGAGTTGTAGATACCATGTCAAAATTTCAAATTAACCCACTTAAGAAATTACTATTTTAGGAATACTGCATGTCTGAGTACTTGAGAATGAGTGGCATATATTGGGGTTTGACAGTAATGGATCTTATGGGACAACTTGACCGCATGAATAGAGAAGAAATTCTGGCATTTATTAAGTCATGTCAACATGAATGTGGTGGAATAAGCGCTAGCATCGGGCACGATCCTCATCTTTTGTACACTCTTAGTGCTGTCCAGGTAAATACTTAAAAATTCTGTCTTGATACTGTATATTCTTTCCTGAGTTGGGAATTAAAATTGTATTAGAGGACAAATTTTGTTGATAACGTCTGTTCTGCAAGGTCAGTGATGTGATGGCATGTATTAGCTGAATGTGCAGTTGATGTGAATTCTCAAATTACCCTGAGACCTTGAAGAACAATTTTTATAAACTTTGATAAATGAGACTTTGAAAATAACCTATTTGGGCCCAGGAGATAGCTCAGCGGGTTAAGTGCCTGGCAAGCACAAGGACTGTTCAATCCCTGGTACCGCATGCTGTGCAGCCCCAAAACTGGACGTGGTGGCACACTCCTTTAATCCCAACACTGGGGAGGCCGAGACATGAGGATCGGAGTCCAGCATAGTGAGACCCTGTATCAAATAAATAAAATAACCAGCTTTTATTTTGACAGTGAATCGACAGGTGTGGTTTAAAGTCCAAGTACTTTGGCGGAACGGGGAATTGAACTCAGGCCCTTGTACTAGCCAGGGAAGCGCTTACTCTACTGAGCAATCTCCCCAGCCCCAAGTACTTTGGAATGCTGAGTTAGTTTATTTGTGGACAAATGCTTTACAGTTAAATTTTAGGAAATGTTAATGTTGATAAAATACAATTTTGTTGAATAACAGTATAGTCTGCAGATTTGAAAATAGTTTACAGTATCAGTAGACTAAGGTCTGCTTGAAGTTCAAGTCAGTATAGCAGAATAGAATTGAAAGATTATTTACTAAGTTACTTGTCTTTCCTATTACAGATTCTTACTCTGTATGATAGTATTAATGTTATTGACGTAAATAAAGTTGTGGAGTACGTTCAGAGTCTACAGAAAGAAGATGGATCCTTTGCTGGAGATATTTGGGGTAATGTCAGATTTAGTCCTTGCTACCCGGAATTCACTATTTAAATGTCCTGGCCTTGGTAGTGATCATTGATGAGGAGATTTAAGGTTTTCATCTTTTCAGGTCCCACTAAGCAGCTGGTCGAACTGGAATTAATGGCCCAGCATGCTCTGTGGTAGTTAATAGCAGCATACAGGAGCACTGGAACAGAGGGGGCCAATCTAAAACGGTAGGTGAAATATTTTCCCCAGCATTGGGTAGCTTTTTAAAGTTAAAAAAGATTAAAAATGCCAAAAGGAAAAACAAAAGATTGACAAAATTACTGAGTTTCAATGGAGGGAGTGGCTTGTATTTTATTTGGTAAATGTAGATAATCTCTGCTTTAGGGCTGAACACAGTGCAGGCCAGAGAGACCAGCTGCTTCATGGGATGTGAAAATCTACTTTTGTAACATAGGGTAAGTTTATCTGTATATTGTTAGAAATTGACTAATCTTTCACTTCTGTTTCTTTAACTTTCTGATACTCTAAAACAACTTGAAATTGTTAAATTATCTGCTGTTAGTTTTGACAGATTTCTGTTAGTTTCCTTAGAGGTAGAAGCATTTAATTTAAGATTGAGCTTCTGACCACTTAATGTAAATGTTAAGCCTGGATTCTGGATTCCTGGAAATTGAATGGTAGTTACATAGTTTATTTTTTAGGCAACTAGTACTGTTACTGATCAAAAACCTCTGGTAATATGTATGTGTTGTTACTTTTGTTTTAGGAGAAATTGACACAAGATTCTCCTTTTGTGCCGTGGCTACTTTGGCCCTTTTGGTAAGCTTTGATAACTATATCGAGAGACTGGGTGTGGTGGCGCACCCCTGTAATCCCAGTGCTGGGGAGCTGAAATCAGGATCACTATGAGTGCGAGCTGCCTAGTGAGACCCTGTTCCCAATACATAAATAAGATAAATAATAATGAAACTTCCCAGCATCCATGAATACTCTGGAATTCAGTACCCTTACCCCCTTCTATTTATAGGGGAAGCTCGATGCTATTAATGTGGAAAAGGCAATTGAATTTGTCTTATCCTGTATGAACTTTGATGGCGGATTTGGTTGCAGACCAGGTTCTGAATCTCATGCT